CCTTCCTTGAAGATCTACTTTCAATTTCACCTAATATTGGTTTTAGCTGGTTGACAAATATACAAAAATTGTATCAGGACTGCAATGTCATACCCTATTATAGACAACATAATTTGCTACCATCAGAGTGAAACATCATGCATATAAATTATACCGCTAGCAGCAGCCTTTGAAGCGAACATAGATAAGAGATGCCTCCACACCCTCTGTGACAATGTTTTTGCCAGAATCACTGCTTGAATTGCAGCTTGAACCTGCAAGGTTCAACCAAGTATAAGTATCATTCATAGCTGTCTATTGACTTCACTTGTACTAAGGAAAAGCAACTGAGAATTACCTGGGATGAAGCACCTTTAAGTATTGACAACACATGTGAGCGAATCATACCCAGTGCACGAGACTGCATATAAAGTACCAAATGATTATCAGGTTATGTGCTTTGATCCTTTATGCCTATGAATGTAGCTATTGGATCACCAGTAGTCATTTACTTGAAGTTGGCGAAACTTGACCAAGTAAACAGCAGATTCAGCATATTGTGGGTTGTTTTCAACATACCTACAATCAGCAACAGGGGAAGTTGCATTAGCTTCGGAAACGTAGCACTAGAATCAAACATAAAGCATTACTATGCAGCTACTACTTACGAGATACAGTCATCAAGGCGCTTCAACAGTGGAAGAAACTGTTCGTTTCCAATGTTCATATTTTGGGAATAAAAGCTGCTTGAGACCTGCAAAAGGGAACTAGGTAGTCAGCTCACAGTGGCATGTCATGTACATGGCAAAACTAGGTAGTTATGCATATAATGACAAAGCAATTCAAAAGGATTCTCATGCCAACAACTGAATAGTGGATATGTTGGGAAAGTTGCAGCCCGATGACTTCTTTTGTTATTATTTGAATGTGTTGTAAGCCTGTAATTGATCTAGTGTTCTTTTTTCAGATCTTGGTGGTTCTTCCACCAGGATTTATCAGAAACTCATTTTTTAATAGTAATTATTGCACTTTGCTGGGTCTAGGAGTTGATCCCATGACCTCTTGCTTACCAACTAAGGCCCACTACCACTAGGATAGTGCTTGATTGGTCATTTCTACCCTGGAATGCCTGCTGTGAGTTTAGTAGTTTACAATTAAGTTCACCTCATAGAGAGTTGGAATTATTTATTTTAGTTTCCATCTACATTAAGACAAGTAAGGCATTACTGATTTATAGTTTGCATGCTTCAGAAAACATAATACTCCCTCCAGTTTCAAAAACATGAAACCAATATGAATTTACATGGTCAAACTTCAGAAAACTTTGACCACTATATTCTCTAGTATATTTCTGTGGCCACATAAGAATAGTAAAATTGCATTTGTGATTTCACTAGGAAGCCTTGCCACGTTTTCATTATAAAATATTGATCAAATTTTGATCCAGAAGATAATGATGAAATCAAATAACTCAAGCCTCCTATTTTTTTAGTGGAAGAAGTATAAAACTCAGCGCCTCATATTGGTAATCTAACTATTTTAGTAGCAGAAATGGCAGTAAAACTTTTCATCCATATGCTACTTTGCATCTGCAGCATATATGTTTAAAACTCGACATACTGCAGTTTCCGGTGCCTGCTTTTCTCTCTTTTGTATGTTACGGCTATAGTTAGTTCACCCTTTTCATGGAAAGAAAGCAAGGCCAAAAGTGGAGACCAAAGCTAGTACCACACTTTTCTTATGGCGAGCCAAAGGATTTATAAGATACCACATTAGCAGTGGAAAATATATTCATCAACCAAACATGCTCTAATCTTCTGGTTCTGGATATGGACTATTCTCAACAGCATCATGAGCAGAACCTAGGGACACATACCCACTGATACAGATAACAACATAATATTAATCACAAATTGCAATGAAGGGAGTGAGGCACATAGTTCAGGGCCTCCATTAAAGTCAAATAAACATTACTCAAAACAACCAAACATCAGTTTTAATTTTACGTTAATCAACGACAGGCTGCAATAACTAACATAAGTGTAGAAACTTGACATAATTTATTGGTTCGGAAACTTCCACACAAACTAATAAGACAAAAACCTCATATTTTCTGTTTTCCATAGTTCAGTAAATTTGTCACACAGTACTCTGGTGTAGCTCCAGAAGCCATTGACAAGCAATGTTATCAAATCGTCTAACTGATTCTAGTTGTCATGGCACCGACTAATCGTGGCTAATCGTAGTGCATAGATGATCGCCACGGCACCAATCAGCCCGACTAATCGTGATTAGTCAGATGACTTAACTGGATCTGATTTTTTCATAAAAGTAGAATATAAAAATCTTTGTAATATGACATCTACGCTTGCCAAACCTTACATTTTCCAATTCGTCAAAGTAGTTGAGCCTGCTTGAAGTGCCTCTGCAAACTCAATCAGCCTTTGTTTCTCAACCAACTGCACCATCATTAGAAATAATGCTCAGTCACCAAATAGTAAAGAAAACCAAGAGAGAAACCAGAAAGATGAGAAAATATGTTTCTGCCACCAAACATTACATTCAATATCAAAAGAGATGTGAGCCTTTTTCAGTTTGTTTTAGATTATTGGCAGACTACTATGGCACTATGCCAACCTAATAGAACCGGTCAAAACAATTATTTGGATTGATGCCACCATAGGTCCATGTAATACTTCCCCATGTGGTTAAAACAGTATGTAGTTTAGCTTGAGTATAATGGTCCATGGCATGCCTCAACTGATTTTGTGGATTTTACACATGACATTCAATAAGGCTACACACACGAAAAATAATGTGTATGAGGACTCTCATATGTAAAAGGTGCAACAGTAATGAAGCTACAAAATGCATCAAAAAATGGACCATGAGCTGAAATACAAGCTAACAAGCATGAACAAAGAGATTTTCCTTTTCTTTAGTGCATATATAATTCATACAAACAAACTATATAAAGCAACAGATCTTATTTTGAAAAAGCCTCATGGATATTCATGAAACTCTTGAAGATGAGGAACTGAATGTTGCATGTTGTAGTCTGGGAGGTATCGGTAGACTCCCACCACCCAGGTTCGAGTCTCTCTTCAACTCGAATTTGAGTGCCTACTTATTTACTATGATACGGTTCCTTTTAGGTTGGTCGTTTTTTTTTTTTTTTTGAGAAAGACTGCACAAGGTTGCACTGTGCGACCCATGAACAACTTAGCATAACTGAAGAAAATATGTACTCCCTCCGTTCCAAATTATAAGTCGCTTTGATTTTTTTGGTTCATCCATTTTGCTATGTATCTAGACATATTATTATATCTAGATGCATAGCAAAATGGATGTACCAAAACAGTCAAAGTGACTTATAATTTGGAACGGGAAAAATACTCTTGGGCCCACTTGATGAGAAGCAGAGCATATGATTTGTTGGAAGTGGAGGATCGTAAGCAAAAGACAATATCACTGCTCTTTTTCTTTCACTCTTCAAGATGGCTTATGCACACAAGCCATGTAGAATCAACGGTTCTTTCTGGTACATATTTCTTTTTTTCCTTTCTGGTGGATGTTCCATTATCAAAGAGTCAAACTGCACTAACACAACTGCAAGAATGATGCTAACAAAAATAACTAGTGCAGAAGGGACACACAAGTTGGTCGCAAGCATCATGCAAAGTTTTTTGTCTTCGTGGCAACGCTTTGAGTGCAAAGACTGCAGTTCTTCAAATAAGTTCAATGTATCATCAACCTGTACAGATCCAGGATAAAAGGGTTAAAACTAAAATGCAAAGATGTATCTGTCTGTAACATCTTTTTTCAACATAACCCAACAAAACTTTTGCAGGCTTACTTGCTTAAGGATACCGTCACATGTGTTGACACGCCCTGTAATGTATTCTCATAGAGTCGATACTTCTCCTCAGTCTGTCAAAGAGCCAGAGGAGCAAACAGTGTTGTCACAATCATTCCATTGCCAAGAGAAATAGTGACATTAAACAAACCTCAGATTTCATAGCTGACTCCAGTTCTGCAAACCACTTGTAGAACTACAGGAAAGAAAACATTAATTTTAAAATTCCATTGCCAATGCTAGATATGAATAGTAATGCACCCATTAAGCAAAACTCAAGGAACAGAAGAATGAAAACAAACCTGATGTGTATTCACCAAGACTGCATCCATCGCACCAGCCTCCTCTAAAGCAGATTCTTTCTCTGGAACAGCCACACCTCGATCCTTCCCTGAACTCTTTTCCTGATAAACACCAAGAGAACACATTTTCATGAACTACATGCCCATCACACATCCAGTATCCACTACCAACCCAAGCCAGAAAAGGGAACATTAAAACAGGACCAAAATATTGTTCAGTAGAAGCCATTCAATGAAATTACCCTAGAAGGCCAAACATGCACTTAACATCACATGCAGAAATTAGAGTATAGCATGTGCGCTAAAATCTAGAATTGATCCTAATTTTCCAACCCCACAAAATAAATTGCTTAAACCCTGCACTGCCAACTCAAACCCCAACTTCACAGGGCTCCAGTGCAGCTAAGCAGTAGGCACACAATTTCGAGCACGAAGTAAGCCCAATTACAGCCCTACGAAATCCCAACATTCATTGGTTGGTTCAAGTAAACAATCCATATACAAATATGACAGTTCTCAGGTGCGGCGCCTCACCAGGGTTGGGCAGGAATGGCCGCTCCGCCACGGCGTGGGGAGAGCGCGGCGATCGCGGCCTTCTGCTGCTCCGTGAGCGGCGCGTTCTGAAAAAAACGAGAATGCCCAAACCAATAGAGCGTCAGATCCATGAAACAGCCGATCGCACCCGCGAGATCTCGGGCCCGGCCACGGCCAGATCTGCCAGAAGCGAAGGCGCCGTGACCAACCTGCTCCCAAGTGGATGCGAAGTTGTAGCCCTTGGATACCGCGCCCGACTTGGGAAGCGCGGCCGGCGTCGCCGGCGCCGGTGTCGTCGCCATGAGCGCGTACTCCCAAGCGGAGGAAGCGTAGACAGTGAGCGATCGAGTTCTCGGGAACGATCGGGCTTGGAGCAGCTGTGTAGTGCAGGCTCACCAGCTAACGGTAAATGGACATGGGCCTAGAGTGCGGATAACCTTACATGGCCTTGTCTTTAGTGGTACTTGCAAGGCTGGGCTATGTGATCTGAGCCCACGTACGTGATTGCTCAAAGGTCAAGTGCTGACGGCCGAGCCAGGCCCGCGTGTGTACTGTGCGTCAAGCACATGCCCGGCCTGCAGGACGCCTTTGCCATACATAAAAGCCCATAAACAAAGAAGGAAAGGCAAGTAAAAAAAGGAAATGTCCATACGCTAAGCCCACCAAATTCTGTTCTGGCTAAGAGCCAGGTCAGCCAACCCACACAACAGCTCGTGGGCCGTTCCAGATTACGTTGATCTGCTTTCCTATTGGACCAGGGAGCTCGGCTTGCTCCTGAGTCCTGACTCCCCGCTCTTCCCCTCCCCGTCCTGGCGGCGTCAACTCAATTTCTTCCCCTGGCGCCGCTTCAGTTATTTCGGCTTCGAATCCAATATAGGGACGGCTTCGAATCCAATGTAGGGAAATTTAGAGACAGATAGATTCATAGATTAAAGGGCACATGCACACAAAGCACTCGCGCCACGCAGAGACATTTCGAAGAGTAGAGGTCACCACCGCCTTTGTGACCTCGATACTGGGGTTCATGGCGATGCTATCGCTAAACCGCCTCTTGGTCAAGGAGGAGCGGAGGCGTCGTCGCGAATCCAAGCATGCGATGTCGCTCTTAGTCCCCTCGAGGCCTCTACCCCTCTCGGTTATTCATCTCAACTACCTTATGTTCATGGCCTGAATTTTAGAATCCATTGCCTGCTATGCGTATTATTGCTCTAGTGCCCTGTGGAACGAGCCTCCGGTGTCTGCAGATATTGTTTCTAGACGAAAAAATACATTTTTTATGGTGTCCGATGGTCCCGCCTTAACTCTGCTCTCGCTCGGTGCAATCGAAAAGAAACTCCAACGAGCGCCTATCTCGCCTATCCTTCTACAAAAGCGGAGGCTAAGGTAGGCAAGCAAGTACACGATTCCTTTCTAAACTTCGTTACACTTACCTTCCTTCTCGTTCTATCTTCTTCATCAAGCGCTCGGCGTCGACACCCCATCTTCCAGATCACATCCAATGGGGAATCAGGTAATGTAACACCCACGGTGTTACGAGCTTGCTTAGCACCGAGATTCAGACCTAAGAAAAATTTCAAGCGAGTTTCCGGATTTTTGATTTAAAACATACTTAAAGTGAAAAGGAAATCATGTGTGACTCTGTTTTTGTCGACTCGAATCAACGCCAAGTTAAATTACTCTGTGCGTAAAGATATTTAGGAATATCCGATAACGATTCTAGCAAATAAATGGCGAATGGCTTGTTCTATTGGATTGAGCATAAAAACAATTTTTATAAACAAAATAAAATATAACGTGTAATTAGAACTTAAATAAAAATTGGAAGTGCAAGTTAGTTGTTAAAAATGCAACTGTTGATGTGGCGTGTGGATGTTGTTCCATGGTATGTTCGATAGCTCAAAAATCAAAATTAAAAATTTAAAAACCAGCTTCTCGCGTCAACGGTAAAAATCAGAAATTATATTTTAAAGCATTGTTACGACGATTTGTTTTGCGCAAAAATAATTACATAACACCCTAATATTTTGTTACATGGCTTGGTATGGAGTATGAGCTCATCAACGGTTTTTGCATCTCTTAAAAATTCGTGCGCATCACTACTGACCGTCGTATGGCTCAACCTGCGGTCGCCGTGTATACTACACCTTAACCGTCTCTCAGGTGACGTGGTGCCATGCATTTACGACCCACCTAACCACGGAGGAGCTGGCTGCCTTTGCGTCCCGCTAGGTTCGAGCCGTCCTGTCTTTGTGCTAGTGTGACGACGGTGGTGCGTCCCCCTGCTCTGAATCAGTTATCTGATTTATTGCGACGTGTCGCGCGTGTCCCTGCCACCTGCTTCTCGCATAGTCCCGTCGCTCTGCAAAGCTACCGAAGCACGCCGCGTTGTCCTTGCGTTAATGAAGTTGGTCGAACCCTCGCGTTGTTTTCCTCCTTCCTTTTCTATTTCTGCTTGCCTCTGTCTCTGATTGTCCTTGCCTGTCGCTGTTGTCTGCCTATGTGCCAAGCCGAGCACCCGCTTTGGCGGCTCCCACCGTCGTTGCGTCCCCTCCGCCCGTCGTTTCCCCTTTTTCCTTTGCAGCGCGACGCTGCCTCGCCTCCTCTCCTCCGCGCGCAGCGCCGCCCCTCCTTCTTCCTCCCCGCGTCGTGCGCTTCTTGCAGCCGGCTCAAATGCACCCTGCCTCGGTCATGTTGGACCGCCGCCTCGGCATGCGCTTCTCCTCAGGCGACGGCCACCACGCCTGGAGCGCTGGGTCACCGGTTTTCCCACCACCTCACGCGTGTGATCTCAAGTGGTGGCCCCACGCTGCCCCGTGGTCCCACAGCGCCGCCGCCCTCCTCCCTCTCACCGTAGCCCGTGTGCGGCTCCGCCTCGTCGAGCCGCCTCGCTACCTTGGGAACCCTACCGCCCGAACCTCCATCTCTAACGCCTCGCCTCCGTTGAGCACCAAGCCCTACGTCGCATCCCCATCCTCGTCGTAGCCGCGCATGACGCCGAGAGCCGCCATGCCCGGCTCTCGGCCTTTTGCCGTCTGCTGCTGGGCGGCAGTGGCATTGAGCCTCGCCCGCACGCGTGTGGGGCCTAGCCGGGGGTGCGCCATGCCCGCCCGGTCTTTGAGGAGCCACCTCGCCACCACCGTGCCCCACAAGCAACTCCACTCGCCGCCTTGCTGCTGGCCAGCGGTTGTTGCATACCCATGCACATGGTGGCCAGATATCTGAGCCACGGCAAGGGATTGCCTTAGCCACTCCCATGCGCATACTGGTCCATTCTTTGCCCCACGATCGGTTCTCCGCCACCGCCGTGCCACCCTCCATGCGAATCGGCGCAGCGGTTTTCCTGCCATGCTCTGCTTGTGAAGATGACGAGAGGGACTGCAGGTGGGATAAAATCTTTCCGGGGTTCTTGATGCAAAATCGGTGACTCACATAAGTAGCATTGGACCGCCACCCTCAACGCCGCCCTCCCAGTATTGGCCGCCACTGCGTCTGCCACAGGCGTCGAAGGTTCCCCCTACCTGCTGGCGAATCTCCGTGGTTCGTGGCACGCCTTGATCTCTTGACCTTTGACCGCCCCTCCTCCCTCTCACCGTAGCCCGTGTACAAGGGCCTCATCGCTTAAATACCGCCCGGCATGTTGGGTCGCTGCGTCCAGGCTTATTGCCAAATGGCCGGTCGTCGTCGTCTGCTCGCACGTTAGGTGGCTTGTGCACCGCTACTGCTGAGCATTGTCATGACGCTTCGCCTAGGCCGCTGCCGTGCCCTTTACTCAGCTTGTTGAGCCGCGCCTAGCTAGCATGAGCAACACGCAATTCTTGCACCATTTTGTCGCTGGCCCTTTCTATTTTCTAAATGCTTTTCTAATATAGGTTTATAGTTAACTTGTAAAATCAATATAAATTTGTGTAGTTGTCCAAAAATTTTAAAACTAATTTTGTTAGTCTCCTAAAATCATGATCTATCTGCTAGTATATTTTGTTCACATAGTTTGATAATATTCTTGAAAGCTATATAATTAATTTGAGATACTTAATATTATAAAAATATAAAGTTGTAGGAATTGTTGTGATAAATTGGTAATAGTGTTCGATCTGAAATTTTTACAATAGATTCCTAGCAATATTAGTTGCTCACTGTAATTTTTGTAACTCCAGAATAATTAATTTACTAGATAGATAATGATGCCCTATTTCAAATAAAGATTAAATCGATAGAATAGAATAAAGAAACAACTTGAGTTTGTATAACTAAAACATTTGTTGGGGAATAATGTCTTATTCGATAACATGGATATGTAGCCTAAGTACGGTCATCGTTGGAAGTAGCTCGTTAACTTGAGAGGCACAAATCGTATTTTTATGAGTCACGATTGCAGTCGATTAATTACGTCTTTGCATTGCATCGCATTGCCTATCATATAGGTACGATGATGGATCAACGGATCAAGTGAAGGATGAGTGGGAATCTGAAGATGGTGTAATGGTATTCTCTCCCGGAGATGATGCAATGGGCTTTCTATTCAGATGATGGTGGATGATCTGAAGATGCAAATACTAACTTTTGGGTATATTTTACCCAGGCAAGCCCCGGTGCATAACCCCTACTTTTCTGTACTTTAAATTATATTTGTGCATTAAGTTTTAAGAAGTTGAATAAAACCCACTTGCATATATATCTTTAACCTATGAGTCTTACTAGTATGACAGAATCGTATAAATTGCTATGCTATAGGGCTCCGGTAGAAGTCGAGTGATTGTCTGTCACTTATGAGAGATATGAAATATATTACTGTATTATTATCACTTGAAAAATATAAATGGTGGAAAGAAAAATGGTGACCGGACAAGGATATGGTTTGGGTATTGGTGGGTGTAAGAGGTTGCGTCCTGCGGCCAACGGGAGATAGCTTGGTTACATTGTTTTCCCTGTCTGTGTCGGTTAAGGACCGGCCGTTGCATAAGCCTCTAGGCAAGCCACAGATTTATTATCCCAGGCATATACTTAGGTATGGGCACAGGGAAGACTTGTTGCTCTCTTATCATGGGTTCCGGTTCTTTCCGAACCGACTGATTGGAGGCGGGGATGGTAGAGGTCCTTACACCGTACTAAGTCCGGGACTTAGGAGCGGGGGCTTGGAGTCCAAGTTTGGACGGGGACCTGGACCCCGTGACAGGAGGGTGATGGGTTGGTCCTGCTTGTGCCTGGGGTACAAGCGGAGCGTGTGTTTTCGGGGTACCCAGTTAGGGACATTGATTCACGAATCGCGGGGCAATCTGGTACGGTTTGTCTACGGTCTAGCACC